CAAGAATACAGAGCATCACTTGCCCCAGCCTGAGAGTCCCTATCTATACCTTGTGGATAATAGCCACTGATGGACCCCTGCTCCACATGCTTATCTAATTCCCTCTTGAAGCCGTCCATGCTTGTAGCTGCCACCACCTCCTTTGGCAATGAATTCCATGTGTCCCACAGGGCATGCAATTCTGTGTCCTGGGATCCCAAATGAAGAAGAAGGTGGAGCCCATGGAACCATTTCTTAGAAGTGATGCAAACGTTGTTGAGAGAGACACCATGTGCAAGTGTTTTGCCCTGTCTGGACTGAAACAAGATGTGATCACCAGGGGCCAAACTTAAAAGGGTGGTCTACCTGTCGGCAGTCCATGTTTGAAATCATAAAATGTATTTAGCCCACTTTTATCTTGCCTCTCCTCCTCGGAGCTCAAAGGCATATCTTGTGCTGTCCTCCATTTTATCCTCATGGCAACCCAGTGAGGCAGGTCAGGGTGAACTTGGCCCAAGGCCCGGCCAGTGAGCTTCCATAGCAGGGTGGGGACTCCAATCAGCGTCACACTCGGGTGCCGGTCTGAAGCATAACCACTCCACCAATACTGCCTCTTACGTAGTGCTGGCTTCGTTTCTAGACGGGGCTAAATCTTGGCCGTTGTTTCCGTCGTTCTTTTAAAATCTGTGTCTGAGGCGATTTTTGCAGCTGGGGATATTATCTCCGCTTGAGGCGGGGTGAGGAGTGGTTTTTTGAGAGCGAGAAAAGCAGCCCGGGGGGGACCCCAGAGTCTCAAGGTCAGTTATTAGTAAGGAGTCTCAGAAGAACAGAGCGTGTGTGGGGGGGGAGAAGACATAAGGCACAGGTTGGGAGCAGGGGCTTGGCAGGGGCAGATATTTGTATTTTGTCTCCTTTTGTCTTGGGGGAAGGCAGCTTCCAGCAGTCTTGGCCAAGCCGCCTTACAGGGTGTGGACGTCACGGGCCGGGAAGGCATTCGGGCCTCCAGACGGTTTTCAGGGAGCTGTGTCAAGGTAACCCACGCTGCTGGCATGGCCATTTGGAAGAGCTGGCTCTGGGCCAGTGCCCGGCTCTGCCAGACCGCCAAAAGCAGCTGCGTCCCTCAAATAGCCAATCACGACCAGTACAGAGTCTCAGCTTGGGGTTGGTGGTGAATGGCTGCACATGGCTTTCAGAGCTTCTGGACTCGTGGCCATGGCAACAAAACACTTAGCAGCTGCAGAGCAGAGAAAGGGGCATTCCAGTGGACCAGCCGGCTCTTTTGAGAAGGAACCGGATTGGTTACCTGCCTGTTCCTTGCGAGCCCCGACTGATGGGCGGGAGAAGCAGCTGAGCAAGTCACGACAGGCTGGCCGAGCGGGACGTAGACGCTGGGTGGGGAGGGGGGGGACAGAAAGAGCAAGAGAGAAGTTTCTTCCTTTGCCAGGAAGCCGGAAGGGGGAGGCCCCGAGGCTGTGCCCGTCTTTGCTCTGCAGGCAGTTGCGGGATAGCTTAATTGAAACCGAACAGGCATATCGATAGCCAAGACAGCAAATGCAAGCACACATCCCGATCTTGGACTGCCCGAAGCTGTGAAGGAGTGAAGGGAAGCGGCCTCGCTCAATATGTGCCCTGTGGAGGATGGCGTACTTTGTGAACAGCAGGGGCCGAGGAAGCCTTGAAAGCCCCCGAGGATCAGACTGGCCCTCGTCCTCTTCCCCAGGCAACTCCCACTGAGGAGCTGCTCCCGTGCACATCCCGCCCCGCCCCCCCCCCGCCTAACCCATCTCATGGGCCGTGTTTCATTCCGTTACCTTCACAGAGGGGGGTGAAAGCAGGTAGAACCTCCAGGTGCCTTTTTCTAAATGAAGTGGGATATCAGAGCTTGTCTTGGCAGGGTTGCCAGCCTCCAGGAGGGTCCTGGGGATCTCCTGGAATTCACAGCTGATCTCCAGACTACAGAGATCAGTTCCCATGGAGAAAGTGGCCGCTTTGGGGGGTGGAGTGCAGGGCATTAACCTCTGCTGAGGTCCCTCCCCAAACGTTGCCTCCGTCTCCAAATCTCTGTGGATTTTCTGTCCCAAAGTTGGCAGCTCTGTGTCTTGGGGAGTCTGCTGGGCGAAATGTGTTGTGGGGCCAGCCCACGTCCCCCAGTAGCGGTGAGCTTTAAGGAGCAAGGGTAATGCTGGGTGAGGGTCCCCGTATGACTGCAGGGAGTGGGATTAGCGCTCTGCGACGAGCATACAGGCCGTGCGCTAATGTGGTTTAGCTAACGGGATAAGCCGCGTCTGAATGCGCTTTTGCTAAGTCCATTAAAGTTGATACAATGGGCTTTTGGCTCCGCTTGAGGAGCTTTGAGCCCCGAGCGTTGAGCTCCGCCATTCTGTGTGGGAGCGGTGGTTCTTGCTCGCTGGTGGATCCAGTGTGGAAAGGGGGTATGCGTGAGTGTGTTTGCAGGGGCGGCACACGTTCTTCTCACAGCGCATTGAGAGGGGTGGGTATTGCGTTATTTTGCTCTCGTTATGCACACTGGGCAGTGCTCTAATGGCCATGCTTCCAAGCTGAGTAGGGAACAAAGGAAGCTGAAGCATTGGTAAAAGCATTGCCGGCACTCTGGATGTCTGGCTCTTCCCAGTATTTAGGTTTTTCTCTTGTTACAGCTCAGATCAGTCTCTGTTAAAACTAGAGTTGGGCAAGAACCGGGGAAATGTGGTTCAGTTCGTGGCCGGGCCACAAACCAAACCAATCCAGAAGGTCTTTTCGCGAACTGAGCT